TAAATTGCACAGATTTGACCTTGTTTGACTTCCCTCTGACGTCACAGGTCAAATATCGAGATCATCGATATCGTATTTGGTGCATCTTGATGAGCTTATTCGAATGCTGTTTGAAATTTCCGATCCGGGTATTTGTTCCAGAGATACGACGGGGGGCCCTCCCCCCACAGGATCTGGAACCTGCCAGACCTCAACGGGGCGCGGGTTAACCCGGCACCGCCTGGGCTATTTCCGTACCCACGACAGCCTGGGGGGGGTCGGATCCGACCCCCCCCCCTGTTATCTCGAGAACCAATGGTCGCATCGAGCCCCGCGAGGCGGCGTTCGAAAGGACTTTACGAGACCTTCCCAAGGCACTCCCAAGCAAAGATCCCAAGCAAAGATTTTAAGATTGAGGTCAACTTTCGGGTCAAGGTCAGGTCAAAGGTCAAATTCTGGGGTTTTGCATGATTAGGCTTACGGACAGCGGAATCGATAGCTGCTGCTCGAAACTCACCAAAAATGACCTCAAAGACCTAGTGAAGGTACCATGTGCGTATTGGAGTCATACTAAGTACGGGTCATGGTCAGGTCAGGTCACGAAAGGTCACGGTTTTCACTTTCTGCTACATGGGCGTGCGACACATGTTTTATGGCTTATTTTTCACGCCGAATCCGATGGTAATGGTTATGTGACAGCAAGTCACTGTGCTGGTGATAAGTGTGCATTGAAAGCACACAAATTGTTTATACCATACATTACTAAACGAGGGCTAAGAAAAAAGGTCTATTTTTAACTTTTTATTTTTGACATAAAAATGCGCTTTTCTAGACGAGCTTTGTCCCAGAAATCTAGTGGTGCCATTTGTTTTCACATGCGATGTTCAGAAGTGCCGCTAATTCACGAAAATGCTTATGACGTCACCATGCCCTATGCATGTTGGAGCTATTTTTTACAATTTGGGGGTCAAAAATCAAGATAGAAAGTTGAAATTTGGGACATCTAATGTTCTAATAGAGCTCTATAACAAAAATTCCGTTTTTTTTTGGAAATTCTCAAAATTTTGGATTTTATTAGGTGTTTTCCATAAAATATAGTTTGACTTTTTAGGGGTAAAAACGCATTTTATGGAAAATCCCAGATAGCCATTTTAAAAAACTCGCTCAGCTGCGTCTATTCATGGCCTTAATTTGCAATTTGCTTTAAACCCTGATTTTTGGCGATTTTTTAAACATTTACCACTTTTTGACTGAAAACGCCATGTAGTTACAGGGTGACACAAAAAAAGCGGTCATCACCAAAATTCGAATAACTTCGGAAGTTTTATTCAGATCATCACCAAACTTCGGCCACTTTAGGTCACACCTGGGGCATTCCACGATAGATCGTACCAGGCCCGTCACCCTCATCTCTCAGATTTTAATGAAAATCGGTCCTAGGGGTAATCATAGGCCCCAAAGACGCCTGGCAAAATATCAGACTTCGCAGATCAAAACTTTTTGAGTTATATTGCATTACATTTTTTTTAAACTTCGGTTTGTAACGGTGAGTTTGATGGCCTATAACTCAAGAACGGGTTAAGCAATTAACAAACAGTAAACAACACTAAGCTTGCGATGAATCAAAAATTAATATTACAATTTAAAAATTTCAAAGAAAAATTTTCATTGTTGAGCAAAAACCTTAATCTTTTTTCATTTGCCTCTAATGACTTTTGGGACCAGAATTTTTCACATTTTTATTTTTTTCAAAATAAACTTCGTCATTGCAAATCGACATGCAAAAAATTAGAAAGGTGTTTTTTTCTATAAATTCCTCATTTTCCCGCAAACAAAATGGGTTTCGGAGGGGTTGATACGACCCCAGCACGCCGTTTCGCTTCTAATAGAGCTAGAGCCTCGCGGAAAAAACGAGCGTGTGTGCCGTTACAAGTCGCAGCGATTGGTACCCGATTTTAAGGTCTCAGATTAACCGGTAGCGTCTGAGGTCAGGTCAAGTGACTGAAGTTACGGGTTCGGTTTTTAGTAAATAACTTCGCAAAAAATGGCCGCAGAGCCGCGATTTTGGTATCATTGTGTTCGCCTAGCTCAGGTGCATCGAATGGTATACTTTTTGCTAGGGTGAAGTCAACTTAAGTAGTTGACCTCGGGTCAAGGTCAGGTCAGAGCCCCTCAAGTCATGAAGCTGGGCAAAGGGTATCATATGGCATATCATTCGATTCGGAAGGTCTTCCCGAGTCCATTGGTGGCTTTCCCGACTCTCTAGCTTCATTTGATCGGGAGTTATCGACGAAAAACTCGTACGACCCTAGTGACGTCATAAATGACGTCACGCAAGGTTAACAATGCAAAAGTGAAGCATTGGACTTTGCAAGGAGTGCATGAAATCACGATACCATGTACGTGAGATAGTTTTAGATCATTCTCGGCGCCAAAATAACAGTTTTTATATTTTCCCATTGACTTATAACAGTGATGTCACGTGACCGACCTGACCTCATGTAACCTTAAAAAATTCCCAGATATACAAGTTGTGAGACCTCTGGAGGACACCATGTATGCGTCCTGTAACTTTCAGCTCGGACAGCTATGATCATTGGCGTCCAAAACAATGTCAGAACCAAACAGCCTTTTTCACCCTCGCGTTTATAAGAAAGAGGGTTGGATGAACCCTCTTTTCACTTTTTTCAGATGACTTAGACTTCAATTGAAATTTTAGTAACCCGTGATGTCACAAGGCAGCTTTACCACGCCATTTGTAAGCTCCCCTCCCGAAATCACTATTCGAAACCGTTATCGTGACGTAAAATAAATACATTTATAGAAAGAACACCTTCCTAATTTTTTGCATACTTCTTAACAATGAGCCAAATATTTTTTTTAAAGAAATAAAAATTCAAAAAAAATTGGTCCCAAAGTTCAAGAAATGCAAATGAAAGAAAACTCGATATGTCATATATCCAAAATAGCGTATTTTTCGAAATTTCAAAAATACATATTAATCTCTGTTTCATTGCCAGTTCAGTGTTATACAACATTTGGCATTTGAATAATCCCTCTTAGAGTTGCAGCCCACCAAACTTAGCGCTGCAAAGCAAGATCCAAAAAATGTTATACACCATAACTCAAAAAATACTTATCTCATAAGCATGAAATTGTTACAGGTGGATTCAGAGCCCCTGATTACCCCTGAAACCACTTCTCGTCAAATTCCGAGAGATGAGGGTGTCAAATTGGAAAAAAAGTGGTACGATCTATCGTGGAATGCCCCACCTATGTAGCAGACATCCACCAAGTTTCAAGTCTTCACTACGAATACTTTTAGTACAGTGTGTGTTTTACGGACGCTCCACAATGTGCTCCAGGTGAGCGCCCCGGCGCTGCAGGGCGTAGGCACACCTGCATCCGGCGGGCAAAGTTGCCGATAACCCGATAAGAATAACGTTTCAGGTGTAGCACACCCCCTGAGCACTGTCTCCAGAGGCCATTGCACTCTGTAAAGTGCACAGCCATCGGGTTATCGACAACTTTGCCCGCCGGATGCAAGTGTGCCTACACCCTGCAGCGCCGTGGCGCTCACCTGGAGCACATTGTGGAGCGTCAGTAAAACACACACTGTACTAAAAGTATTCGTAGTGAAGACTTGAAACTTGGTGGATGTATGCCACATAGGTGTGACCTTAAGTGGCAGAAGTTTGGTGATGATCTGAATAAAACTTCCGAAGTTATTCGAAATTTGGTGATGACCGTTTTTTTTTTGTGTCACCCTGTACATACATCACTAAAATCGACATACCTAAAAAAATTGGAAAATATTTCTTAAAAATTACACAGGAGACGTCAAATTGATGGGGAAGAAGGTATGCCAAGTTTCAAGTTGATAGCGTAAGCGGTTCATGAGTTATTCAAGAAAAACGGAGGGGGGGTCGAATCCGATCCCCCCCCCAGGCGGTCGCGGGTTAAGCCACTTCATCATCAAACTATACATTTCGTGGCGGCCTGATACCCCGCTTAAAAGTAAAAATGTTGGACATGTCTAAAATCTCTTTGGGCAGTCGGTTCCACGCTGAGTCAGCCCTATGCGTGTTTTGGTAACGGAGAAACAGCACAATAATAAATACACACATACAGTTGGTGCACACGCTAAACATACATGTGGTCCTACAGGGCGCGATCCCTGTCTGTTGTCAGGTAACCTTGCTTACATTGGATAGCTCTTCATGTCATTGACCTTTTATCGATCGCGCCCTGTAGGACCACATGTATGTTTAGCGTGTGCACCACATTTGTATTTATACGTGTTTTTGATTGGCAACAAGCCGCACTTTCGGTAGGTGCACCTGTTCTGTATCTGTCAGGCGCGTGTCATGAGTCGCCACATCACATCGACGTTTGAACATGTCTCGCACAACGTTCTTGGGCTACCTCATCTCCTTTAACACCCTGACACGTTCTGGGTTAACAGCAACACCCTCTGCAGACACAGGTGTCTGTGTGGAGACACCTGTGTGTCAAGTGTGGAGAGGTGTCAGGTGTCAGGTGTCAAGTGTGGAGATTTTCGGGTTCAAGGTCTTGAACCCGAAAATCTCCACACTTGGCAGTCGCAACTTACACTTGTTCATGTTGAGTTGTCCAGTTGCCCGTGACGTCAGCTGTTCGCGGACACAACTGTTCGTTTATGTTGTTTATGTTGTTTATAGTTTGTTTGTTTGTTTATTTGGAAAATTAAACAAACACAAAACCCTGGTCTGTTCCCTTCTCTCGCATTAGTTTGATGATGCCTTCTAAGTTTTGTTGACTTTTCTTCCCAAGTCTTTTCTTAAATCTGGAAGTAGTAATTTGATTATTTTTGGTGTCTACTATTTTATCGTTCATCCTGCTCTTCTTGTGGCTCTGTTTGGTGCAGTCTCTTTGCCCTCCTTCCTCCTCGCGCGGCGTCTGCTGAAGACGGGAGTCGCTCTGAGCCTCCCTCCCCTGGGCAGGGTCTGGCTAAGTCTCCCTTCCTCCGTCCCTGTCTCCAGGGTCTGCTGGAGCGTCTGGACGCCGGAGAGGTGGTGATCGGCGATGGCGGCTTTGTGTTCGAGCTGGAGAAGCGCGGCTACGTCAAGGCGGGCCCGTGGACGCCCGAGGTGTGCCTGGAGCATCCCGAGGTGGTGCGCGGACTGCACCGCGAGTTCCTGCGCGCCGGCTCCGACGTCATGCAGACCTTCACCTTCTACGCGTCCGACGACAAGCTGTGCAACCGCGGCAACGAGGCGGGAGTGAAGTTCACTGTGAGTCATTGTCCGGGCTGGCGGCGTGCGTATGGCCGCGGCCCGCCTCAGTGCCGTCCATTTATCCGGTCCAGTGCAAACAGGATAATCCACGTGATTATCATTGGTGTCAATTTTATATTTTTTTATTTTACTTAACCCGCGCACCTGCGGGGGAGCGGTAACCCCCCCCCCCCACACACACACACACACATACATCGAGGTTTTTCGTCAATAGCCAAAAAGTTGTTGCGCGTAGTGTCGCAAAATTTGGTGTGCTATTTTCTCATCAATAATACACATTGTTTGCAAGTTATGACCTTCAGATGCAATTAAGACGGCCGGGCCCTTTGAAAGTTGAAGATGCAATGAGCCCATAGGCAGGTACAGGGACCCGCAGTTGCTTGTGCACATTTATTGTGCTTACAATTGACGACTTACAATTGTGCTTTTATTTGCTAACTACTGGCCAGCGGAGAAGAAATTTGTGGCACAGCGTATAGGGGAATAGCACATGTTGCCTCAGACAGACAGACAGACAGACAAAACTTTATTCCAGACCATAATGGTCCATAAAAAACCCTTCACATCATAAAAACACACACAAACACACATGCTAAAAAAAAGACACACACTGCAGCCTAAAACACAGGGGAGTCAGGTGACATCCATGTCTGCCCTTGTATACAGCCTTCCCAGCCATGACCTCCTGATCCTTGACTGGTACCTCAAACTGCTCAAACATATAGCTGCCATGATACCGTTGTTGCTCAGATCAACCCTTTTCATGAATTTATATATTAAGCCTCTAATGACAGCCTCACATAAGGGTACTCTAAAGAATGCACAGGTAGCACTGGTACACTCAAACTTTGATAGCCCTAAGGTCCTTTTAAGAAGGTTATGATAACTAGTGACAAACCTCTTCATAGTTCCTTTTTTGAAACACCACCACAACTGCGAACAATACATAGGCTTACAATGAGCATTAAACAATTTCATCTTTACATCAGTACCTACTACACATGTGAAACTTCCTCAACATTGCGTTCCCTTGGCGAAGCAAGACACGAGTCTGATTCTATGTCTGCATCATCGGACAAGGATGAAAGCCTCCTAGGATGAATTTTATGCATGATTCCTCTTATAGCCATAGATATTCTTCCAAAACTGTAATTGCGCTATTTTCCTGTCCTGGCTGCCTCCCTAGATCCCGTCCTTGGCATCGCCAATACCAAGGTATATAAAAAGAAACACTGCCAATACCTTACGCTCCCGATACGTGAATGAAAGTCACGTGACTACCACGGGTTTGCGTGCGTGTTTGCGCTCAGTACTAACACACCCACTCCGGGGGCCGGTCTGTAGCGGGGAGGGGTAGAACGCCAGAGAACTCCCGGTCTGTAGCGGGTAGAACTGTAGCGGTAGAACTCCCGGTCTGTAGCGGGTAGAACTGTAGCGGTAGAACTCCCGGTCTGTAGCGGGTAGAACTGTAGCGGTAGAACTCCCGGTCTGTAGCGGGTAGAACTGTAGCGGTAGAACTCCCGGTCTGTAGCGGGGAGGGGTAGAACGCCAGAGCTCCAGACCCGCTACAGACCCGGGGGCCGGTCTGTCCATTCATGAACGTATAAATTCATGGCGCAGGCCATGACCTGGCTTGTGCCTTGTGTACACCAAATTATGCTTTTTTTCTTCTCCTCGGCAGTGGCGTCAGTGTCTGTGCGCACTGCGCAGTAAGCCGTTCTGACTTCTGACCGTCGCCGTGCGCGGCGCCAGTGTCGGTGTATGTAGTTCTGACCGTCGCCGTGTGCGGCGCCAGTGTCAGTGTGTATAGTTCTGACCGTCACCGTGTGCGGCGCCAGTGTCGGCAGGTAAATGATGCTGCCTGCCGGCTGGCGCACGAGGTGGCCGCCGAGGGGGACGCTCTGGTGGCCGGCGGCATCTCCCAGACGCCCTCCTACCTCAGCGGCCTCGGCAAGAAGGCCACCCAGGCAGAGTTCAAGAAGCAGGTGGACGTTTTTGTTGAGAACAAAGTCGACTTTTTGATCGCCGAGTACTTTGAGCACGTTGAGGAGATGGAGTGGGCCATCGAGTCTCTGGCGAGCAGCGGCCTGCCCGTGTGCGCCACCATGTGTATCGGTCCCGAGGGCGACCTGCACGGCGTCTCGGCTGGCCAGTGCGCCGTGCGCATGGCGCGCGCCGGAGCGCACGCCGTCGGCGTCAACTGCCACTTTGACCCGTTCGTCTCGCTGGAGGCCGTGCGGCTGATGAAGGAGGCACTGGCCGAGGCCGGACTGAAGGCGCACCTGATGGCCCAGCCGCTGGCAATCTGGACTCCGGACACCAAGAAACAGGGCTTCATTGACCAGCCCGAGTTCCCTTTCGGTGAGTCGGCAGGGCGTCTGGTAATGGCGTCACAACTCTTCACAACCCTGCAGATTCTGGGTAACAGTATCTTAACCCCGCGGCTTCTGGATAACAGTCCCAACCATCACCTGTGTTGACCTTTTTACAGCTCGTCTTACGTATGGGGGCGGGATACGTAGGACCCTCCCCTGCCGTTTGGCCCCTGATCGAGCTACAGCTTCGCGGAACAACTAGCGTTTTGCCCGCGACGAGAGGAAGTTGATGAGTGTGCTCCGTCCCTCTATCACCGACTGTGTGCTCCGTCACTGAGTGTGTGCTCCGTCCCTCCATCACCGACTGTGTGCTCCGTCCCTCCGTCACCGACTGTGTGCTCCGTCACCGACTGTGTGCTCCGTCACCGACTGTGTGCTCCGTCCCTCTGTCACTGAGTGTGTGCTCCGTCCCTCCGTCGCTGAGTGTGTGCTCCGTCCCTCCGTCACTGAGTGTGTGCTCCGTCCCTCTTTGCTGACTGCGTGCTCCGTCTCTCGGTCACTGACTGTGTGCTCCGTCTCCTGCCGACAGCGCTCGAACCGCGCATCATGACGCGCTGGGAGATTCAGAAGTACGCACGCCAGGCGTACGAGCTGGGCGTGCGCTACATCGGCGGCTGCTGCATGTTCCAGGCGTACCACATCCGGGCCGTGGCCGAGGAACTGCGCGAGGAGCGCGGTAAACTGCCGGCCGCCCACCAGAAGCACGAGCTGTGGGGCGGCGGCCTGCTGCTGCACACCAAGCCGTGGGTGCGCGCGCGCGCCAGCAGGGAGTACTGGTCGCGGCTGAGTCCGGCCACCGGCCGGCCGTACTCGGCGGCCCTGTCTCGGCCGGCCGGCTGGGGCGTCACGGCCGGCCACCAGGAGCTGCTGCAGCACAAAGAGCCCACCACCCAGCACGAGCTGGACGCCGTCAACGACAAGTTTAAGGAAGCTGAGGCATAGTGCTGCACTGGGGCGAAAAGCCTGAAGCTCGACCGCAGCACGGCTAGCCCAGAAGGGCCGCGCCAACACTATCAGATGGCCTGAGGGCGAGCTCTAGGCAGGCTGCATTTGAAAGCCACTTTTTGTGGTAATCTGCAATAAACACACGTGTATGGAATGAAGACTAATCGAAGCAGGTTGTCTGAGCGAACAGAGGCGCGGGTGATCAGATCGCGGGGATCTCTCGTTCTCGTTTTTTTCTGCGGCTGACTAGTATGATACCAGGAACACTGTATTAGTGTATGTGTTTAAGTCAATACATCAATACCTCGGTATAAGTGCAGCGCAGCGTGTCGCCGGCCGCGAAACGCTCTGTGGTGGAGAAAAGCATACGTATAGGCGCGGGACTTGGGAGCTGCAGAGACGTCTCGTGGGGAGGAGGGGCAGCTGAGAGACGTCTCGTGGGGAGGAGGGGCAGCTGAGAGACGTCTTGTGGGGAGGAGGGGCAGCTGAGAGACGTCTCGTGGGGAGGAGGAGCAGCTGAGAGACGTCTCGTGGGGAGGAGGGGCAGCTGAGCTATTCTAACTTTCCGGTCGAGGAGGGGCCTAATGTATTCAGTCCCCCCCCCCATACACACACACACACACCAACTCGAAGCTGACGCCATGAGTAAAATCTCGGACTATTCCCCATATCATCACCCGCAAAAACCTAGTCAAGGATGAGGGTCAGTGTCAGGGAGCGGGGGCTCGGAGCAGCCGGCCGGCGATCGGCAGCCGAGTGGCTCCTCGGACTGTGCAGCCGGATCTCTCGGGGGCTGCTGCTTCAGAGTTATACAGCAGAGGTGTGCTGCACGACCCGCGCCCTGCTGAGGGGGGGTGCTTTGCTTCGTTTGAACACCCGCTGTTTTTTTTTTTTTTGGCACACCTTATCATACGAGGGGGTATCGAAAAGTTCTGATCATCACCATGAATTAGATGTGACAGAAATTTGATTTTTTTTTACAATTACTCCTTCACATGTCACCACACACACTGCAAACTTGTTGCGTCGTTTATTGAGCTGCCTCAGGCCGCCATTGTATAGGACCCTCGCACTGTCCCGTAAATCACTGCTCCGCCTCATCAATGACGTTCATTGCTGTCCTTCAATCACCGGCCATCCTGTGGATTCTTCATCTCCCGTAACAATCAAGTCAGTTAATACCAGGTCAGATGAATTTGTTAGATGCGGTAGGATTTAATGACCACATCATGTTGTTTCTTCAATCGCAGCTCAGGACGAATGGGCGGGGGTGCTGTCGGTGAGGATAAAACATCTTTCTTGGGCTTTTTTTGCGGCGATTCTGCTCGAGGGCATCTCGCAACTTCTTCAAAAGTGTGCAGTAGTGCGTGTCCATTATTATCCGACCATCATCAAGACAGTCGGTACTGACTATCCTACGCCAAATCCAGAACACTGATCAAGCACTGACCTTCCATATCGGCTTCTGCATCTTCGCCTTTTAAGAGGGACAGATGTGCTTTGCTTCAACTTCTTGATCATCTTTTTTGTCTCTGGATCATACACATACACCCAGCATTCGTCAAAAGTCACTTAACGATTGACGAACTCCTTCAATTTCCTAAAAAAAGCCTAGTGTTCGTTTCGAAAGGCCAAGACGCCCTTTTCTCTTGAACAAAGTCAACACACGAACTTCTAAGCGGGCTGACCCCTTTATCATCTGTAGTTCTTCGCTGATAACATTTTCAGGCACTGCCAGCATTGAGACCTTTCTGAATTCTGTTGCATCATCATCTAAAAGGTCACGCGACGATCTGTAATGATGAGGTCCGTCACTTCCTTCACAGTCGCCACCTTGTCAGTCATTGGTAGTCACTCACTTCTTGACTCCCCTGCAAGGGCTTTGCAACCATATTGAAAATTATTTCTTCATTTTCGGTAGGGGAAAGTGGGGCAATGCCGAAACTTTTCTGTTTGAGACTCTGTAGCAGACAAACAAAGCCGGCAGTAGAAAATCCAGCGGCATTTCTGACAAGCCTCATCAATTGACTATAGGTACATCGCAAATGTGCTTTTGTGTTATTGATCTTTGAGTCAGCTGAGATAAAGACAAATGTCCAAAAAGAGAAACTACGGGAATGCCGAAAACCTATGGGGAATGCCGAAATAGATTACGGGGAATGCTGAAAACCTACAGGGAATGCCGAAATGGATCGATAACGTTTTGCTTAAATTCAGATCAAAGTTAATTGCGCTTGTAACACTACCATTGACGCATTTAGTGCATAACGTGATTAAGCTGGCCATAATTATGTGAATACGAAGACCAGACATGGTATCAGCAAATTAGGCCGAGTTTGATTTTTTAAATTTGATTTTGCACTTTCAAAACTAATTTTAAATTCAACATGAATAAATGAACCCCAATGGAAAATAGTTTCAAAGTTTCAGAGCACGCCCCTACCCTCATCCTTCTTCGCTTCCCTAGCCGCCCTAGCCGTCTGAGTGAATCAGTGGCCGCGCCTGGTTGAATGGCGGTGCCGCCGTGCCAAGCCCAATAAAAACGACGGTTCAATCCGCCGACAGTGTTTTTGCACTGCAAAATCACAGGCTTAAAAGAACACAGGCTTATATGCGTCAAAATAACAGGTTGGGACAACGCCGAAAAATTTTCCCACGATTTCGGCTTTAACCCAGTGACCCATATTGGCACCCGGTAAAAAAATAAAAATACACATGTAATAAAATAAGCCATATCACAGCACGTCCCGTTTATATGGATATTTGACACCGTAGACAGCAATAATTGATTTGTAATTTTATACAACTTGGTGAGTTATAGCAATTTTAATATCGGGATAAGCATTACTCGACAGTCGACGTACCTTGAAAAACTTCCGTCGTCCCCGCCACCTCGCTAACAACTGTTCGCGCGTGGCGTTTATACTGGTGAATCACTTGAACTGAGACTTGACAAAAATGCCACCAGAGGACTGCACATCACAGTCGTTTGGCCACAATCGAGAATTTCGGCTTTCCCCGTAGTTCGGCATTGCCCCACTTTCCCCTAAGTGCATGAGATGGGCTTTCCTCTACATAAACTAATTTCACGTTCTTGATGTATTTTCTCAGTGTGGTGCCGTTTCAAATGCATTAGTTGGATGGCGGTTCGGTCCCCAATAGGCCCAATACTCATCTTTTTCACTTTTCAGTCTCTCCTACATAAGATTTAAACCACTTTTCAGGATTTTCTTTGCATGAACATTGTTCTTGAGAACCAAATAAAATACCAACGAAAAATCATTAAAATAGGTCTATAACTCCTATGTGATGATCAGAACTTTTCGATACCCCTCATGCGTCAATTCTACACATGTTGTGAAAATTTCAGACCAAGGTTATTCAAGCTCAGGTCACCAGGTCACTTGAAGTGACCTCACCTCATAAAAAGTTTCACTAACCGTGTTTACATAGGGTTCCCTTAATCTTCCCCTATTTGTCTCTTAAATGTCCCTTATAAAGGAATCCTCTGTCTCCTTTACCTTGCTTCACTACAAATATGGCGCAACTAAGTCATTCTAGAAGCAGTTTGCAATTTTTACTTACCTTTAGGGCTCTCCCAAATAGCTTCCAGACTAGACACTGAGGTAAAAGTGATAGCACACGAAAGCTCAAAGCAAGAAAAATCAGAAAACTATCTGGCATTTAACATAGGGTAGACCGGGGCAAGTCGCCCCGCCGAGGTAAAACGCCTCACCGATGTTTCTCGGAACTGGCAAGGATCTGGGGAAATATTCTCTCTTCTATAAAACGTGCACTATATGATCATTATATGACCAGACTGGAAAGAAATTGTGATGACTCCTTAGGGAGATATAGCCAAAAATGTCCAAAGAACGCATTGAGCACAAATTTGGCCTTCCAGGTGATGTAGGACAAAAGTTATGTAGCAAAATAAATTATCTGGGGCGTCTTGCCCCAGGCTACCCTACTTTAAACGGCTGAGCTATTATTCAAGTAGGTGTAATCACATCCACGGCAATATCAGAACACCGCACCTGTCGAATTTCTGCCTTGACTTTCTGCCGTTTATGCGTTAATGCCACTTAAAGGAAATAGTTCACTTTTTAACATGGGTTTTGAACTGGAATAGCAGTTCCGTAGCTTGGGCTGAGACGAGCATAAATCAGGAGCTTTTACAGCCCAACCATCACCCTAGGCAAAGATATTCTATTTCTCGTCCCGAAAAAGGTGTCTTGCGTTGAGGATGTGTGCCTTGCATATATTTGCATCCAGTATGAAAAGAGCATGGGTACCGAAAATTCTTCAGAAACTAGAGAAATTATCTACGAGAGCTCTAGAGAAATTCTCGTACTGATCAATAAGGACATTCAGGGGAACATTATCGCCCTTGCCAGTAAAACTAGTAAAAGGGCTAACTTTGCATGGTTCTTTAATCTTTAATGCATTATTTCACGCACTGGCGGATCCAGGGTTTCAGCGCGGGGGGGGCATACCAGGTCACGGAGCCAAACCAACTCCTAGGGTACCCCCAAATCCTGTCTTCTCATCGGATTTAGGCCACTTATTTTTCGTCATAGCCCTGATACGATAGTTTTTTTCAAAAAAAAAAAATGGTAGGCCACCTGGGCCCTGTTTCACCGGTGATAGCAACATGCTGCCATTACACGTGTCAAATTGGGTTTCCATGGAAACATCAACAAACCATGGCGTCGTCAAACTGTGTGATGTCATGAAATATTGATGCTAACATCTTCACGGCCGTGCGATCAAACAAATGTATCAAACGCATTCAACGAGACAGCAACTCTGTTCCAAACGTAGCTATGCAGCGTGCTGCTATCACTGGTGAAACAGGGCCAATCAAGATGGGCCAATACCCCACTGGCAGATCCAGGAGGAGGGGGCTTTTGGGACAAATAATCCGGCAGCGCCAGAAATCGACGGAAATTTACGTTTTCGTTTCAGGAATAAGACGAAAACTTAACTTATCTTACGAAAAGTTTGCTTTAAAGTGCACAGTAACGCGTAAGGAATACAAATTCGATCAGTTTATGGAATTTGGAGAGACTTCTTTGAGTGTATGCACTTCCCGCAGCGTCGCCTTTCTGGATCCGCAGTGCCTGGCCCATGTTTTTATATTAGTTTGTTGCCCCCTCACATTGCCCTACTAGACGATTAAACAAATAGAAAATACAAACCACCAGCCTCAATGCTACCTAGCACAAAATTTTGCGCTGAACCTGAGTCCTTTTTTTTAGCATCTTTAGCATTTGGCATAGGTCGAGCCAGGTCTGGTCAGGTCAACCGGTAAGTGTT